TAAAACCTACGTATTTCGTTAATATTTTCATGGAATCGTTGACGAAAGAAGGTGAAGACCAACTTTCTTCTCGTGCGCTTTGTCTCTCACGTACACGAGCCTCTTGTGCGCAGAATATTACTTGTGTTTCTTCGGACTTCCGGTGGTCGATTGTTTGTGTAGATTCCATTGTTCCAGGCACTTTCGGCGCGCCTGACGGATAGGAAGTACAGGTTCATTGAACTTCATTCAGTGGTGACGCTATGAGGTCAATCTGAAAGGGGCGCCCGGATTGGTCAAAATTACGGCGATTTCTCGACGTTATTTGGGAGGACACACAACTGATTTAAGAGTCCCTGTGATTTTGTAGAAAAAAAATTTTTTTGATAGATATCTAAAAAAAAAAATAAAAAAAGCGCAGTCGAGCCATTGCGAGATAAAAAAAAAGGAAAGCAGTTTTGCTTCCTTTATTGCAACGCAAAATGCGGGATGTTAATCTTGCAGTAACTTTATTTCGAACGAGAAGACGTCGATGTCAAAATTCTAACTGCATCTTGCAAAAACTGCTTATTTGCTTATATATATATATTGATATATTTAATCACATTGTACTAGATTATGCGTATTAAGCACTGTAGGTTGTGCTTCTTTTTTCTTTTTTGCTTTGTCTTTTGCATAAATTACCGGGTAGATGAAAAGAGTTCACGCAGTGTGAGAGCACCTATCAGTGGTTTTCTTTCTAGAACCATATCTGTTTCCTTGCCTGCTTTTCTCTTCCTCCTAAAGGTATTCCTATTTCCAAATATTTTTCCATTTTTCAAATGTACTTCTGATACGTATCGCGATACATTTTTATAAATGTATTTCACTATCAGTATCTTAGCTGTCCTTGCCATGTATCCCAGTATTTGTATTTCCAAATAGCTTTCAAGGTATTTCTGGCCAACCCTGCTCAGCGCTACGACATCGTTTTCTGCCTGTTGTTTTGAGTATAGGATAAAATGTGCTCAAGAAGTCCCTGCGCTAAATTCTCTCAATTAACATGCACTCTCAAGAAAAAAGGGTGTCAAAAGGTGTATCGTTACACCCTTTGTCCCATATAATACACCCCAAAACTTCATTTCGACGTACAGCGCCCTACAGACGGCCCGTAATTTTACGAAGGGTTTGATAGCCGTGTGGTACAACATTTTAAATAGCCAAAGTACGTATCAAAGACCATATAAAGAACACACTGAGTTTTTACAGTAGGGCCAAGAAAACTCGGATTATTTGCCTTGTTGTCAGTAAAAAGTACATTAGCTATTTTAATGAGTTGTACCATACGGCTATCAGGTCCCTCGTAAAATTTCGGGCCGTCTATTTGACTGTAGGGTGCTGTACGTCGAATTGAAGTTTTGGGGTGTATTATATGGGACAAAGGATGTAAGAATACACCTTTTGACACCTTTTTTTCTAGAGAGTGTGGACCACAACAAGGTGATTCCGGACAAAATAGTACTAGAGAAAATGGCTCCGGGCAACGAGATCCCGAACAAAATGGTACCCAGCTAAATGACCCCGGAGAAAATGGTCCCCAAAATGATAATCCCGACCGAAATTATCCCAAAGAAAATGACCCCAGGCAAAACGTAACCCCGGAAAAAAAATGGTCCCCAACAAGATGATCCCGAACAAAATAGTCAAAGAAAAAATTATCTCCGGCAGCGTTATCCCAGATAAAGTAGTTTCGAACAAAATAGTCGCAGAACAGAATGGTACCCGGCAACGTTATCCCGGATAAAGGTGGTACTCAAACTAGGTGATAGCGAGCAAAATAGTTACAGCTAAAAGGATCTCCCGCAACATGATCCGCGGCAAAATTGGTCCTGGTTAAGTGGTCCCGGATAATAGGGTCCCCCAAAAAGTGATTCCTACCAAAAGGCTCGATTAAAAATGGTCCCTGGCAGCGTGACCGCGGACAAAATGGTCCATAAATGAATGATCTCGAGCAAAATGGTCCGGGGTAAATGGTCCCCGTTAAGATGATCCGAGACCGTAAAAACTCTAACCAAAACACTCAACAAAAAAAGGGAAAACACTCGTTTAAAACTAAAAAGTTTACCTGTATGTTGTGATCAACATAACATTACAATTTTTGTAAATTTCTAATGTGAAATGAGTTTGTGTGCATTAAAGTTCTTACAACTGTAACGCTCAGAGCCAAACGTCCCGAGTGTTCATATAAAATTGGAAGTACCGGTTTTAGGACGTCTTTATCCTTTATTTTATCAGACTCTTCGGGCTGTATTTCTTTTTTCATCATTTGGAGCTCGGCCAGACAATGCGTTGCGCGTAGCCACGCTGGCACTCCGCATGCCTTTGACGGCACGGCACGCAACTCGAAAACATTAGACACGGAAAGGTTTGTCCTGACGACAGTGATCGGATCATCGGAGGCTTCTGTCGCTCGGACTGCCTCTGATAACACCGGTTACATCAGTCTCCTCTCTCAGGCCACACACTACTTGCGTGAGAGCGCTGAAGGAAAAAAAAAATTGTTTTACCAATGATTTTTTTTACTTTTTTTTTCAGTCTACGACAGATTCCTTCACGTAGTTCGCAAATGGAACGTGTTCGAGCATCGCACTACGAAATTATCCGGACTATATTACTTCCCACATAGTGATTGGAAAGCCAATAGACCTTTTGCGAAAGGAATGCTGGGAACTTCCTGTATTCGCGACTCCAGCGAAATTAACGTCATGCAGCGGTAATACCGTGAAACTCTGAATGCAGACGACCTCTTCACAAGGGTCGTCTGCATTCGCTGCTTCGTTCTCGTTGGCAACATAACTTCACGTGCTTGTTTAGCAAAAATGTGTGCCGCTGCTAAAAAAGAAAAAATAATCGCCGCTAAAAAGAATGAAAATATTTAAGAGTTGAAGAAGGACGTGAAGACAATTAGTTAATGGTGTGCAAATTCGTTCATCTACAAGAAAGAAAACAACGTCATCCCGCAACTTACGCTTTCGCCTGAAACCCGGTGGGGAAAGCTGCCGATATGAGGTTTAAAAATAAAGCTCGCCAGGAAAGTGGCCTCGGCCAGAAAGATACGTGAATAAATACTGATAAACCCTTTAGCATTGAATATTCGAGAAAGTACTCCAGAACTATTAGGCATCTCCAACAGCGATTACGGATGTCATCACATACATTTTCAAATGCAATCACAGATGGCCGTGCAAGCCCATTTGCGGCGAATGAAGCCATATTTCGCGGTCCCATCTGGACGCATTCTACGCCGCTTAGGGTACTAAACATATGATTTGCGAGCGTTTAATTTCTTTTGGGCAGAAATAATTGAAGGAGGCGGAAGATTGCAGCCGCGCTGGCACTGATCGAGGCTTCCACGACCTTGTTCCAATAGGTGCTATCTAATGACGTGCTGGCACGCGCGCCCATCGGCTCTCGGTGGCTACCGCGAATCCTCGCACAATCGTCTGTCTGGACGTCGCTGTCCGCGCTCTATTTGTTCCGAGCATTTTCTCTTCACTTTGGATTGGTCTCTTTCCCCGGATGGGCGAGTGAAGGTCAGACAGTGCTGGGAACAATGGGCAGAGCGCCCGGGAGCAGCTGAGCCAAGGGGTGTGGGTATGACGGACCTCGCATGCATGTGCGCGTCGAAGCGGCAGTTGATGGATGACCGACGGACCCCCCGCCAACTCCGTCCCCTTTGAAACTGAGACAGTGGTCGGAGCATTCGTCGTGCACTCGACGGGGGCCAAGCCGCTTGCAGGCGGACGAGTAACTGCTTTCTCATGATGCTTCACCCTGCGCGTCAAACGACGTCTGCCGCCCACGAGCTCCAAGCGTCCACGGAAACAGTCACTATCTGCTCCTTGAGAGCAAGATGTTGGGCGGTGCATACCCTCCTCATTTTTGGGGTTACGTAGATAGTGATCATATAAGAAAAGAGTTTCCGTAGATCGTTTTTGCGGTCCGATAACCTTAGCTATAACGACATGACGCAAGCCGATAACGACAGCTATTGGGCAGGAGATGGAAGTGTAAGGAGAGCTTTATCGAGCTTGTTGTCCCCACAGCCCGGTGGTCACTAACGCAGCATACAAAAGAAATTGAACCTCGCCTAGCACTGTTTGAGCACAAACGCTCCGCTCCGATCGACCAGTGCTGTAGTCGTATGAGGATCGAGCTGCCTTCGGATCATCATCTTGCATTAAATTTCTCGAATAAAAAGAAAAAAAAGAAAGAACGAGAAATTACGGTTTGTTGTTTTCACAGTCGAAGCGTACCGCTAGGGGCGTGACTGTTCGATCTCCTCCCCAATAACGATGTGTGAGAGCAGGCGTCTGCCGTATGCACCGGTCGCGTCGCAAAGTGACACATCTGTGACGTCATCGGGCGGAAATTGAAAGGCCTATTTTTGGAACGCGGTAAGCGTACCAGTCAAAGACGCGTTCCCGGCACCTTAATTGGAAGATCGATTTGGCCATCCGGCGTGTTCCACGAGGGCGGCGCCGTAACTCCTTGCGAGAGAGCAGTGTCTCATATAGTCACCGCCTATGAGGCTCGAGCAACGCCGGGCGTCGCCTGGGCGTCTAATTATCGCTTGGCAACGAATTAGATTGAGGTATTAGCCAATGGAACGACGACTCACGAAGCAGGAAGCATTTCTCAAGCTGTCAGGGACTCTACCGCGTTTGAAACTTTTTGGCGGTCCCAAGACTCCGTCACCGTCTGCCAAACTTCCTCGCCGTTCTCCTCCCAAAGAGCAAGGGCCCTGAACTCGTTGAACGCAAAGCTGGAGCCGAACGTTCGCGAAGCGCGCCGATTGGGCGTCGGCGCCAAAACGCGAAGTCATCGCCGTGAATGTCCAATCGGTGCGCTCCGTCAACTTCGGCCCCAACTTTCTGTTAGACGAGTTTATGGCCCCAAGTGTCCCTGAGTGCCGTCCCGAAAGAGGCCCATTGGCGAACAGGTCAATGTCTCTTTCCCCCTTTTTCAACTCGGCAGCGTGACGGAGGAGGATGCCCCGCGCCCTGCTGCGCGACCTGAACGCCGCGCTGTCCTGCATGCTGTGCGGGGGCTACCTGGTGAACGCCGCTACGCTGGTCGACTGCCTCCACTCCTGTGAGTGTGCCTTCTTTTTCCTCTCTCGTGGGAGGCACTGATGGGGACGTGTCATCCCTCCCTCCTTGCAGTCTGCAAGGTGTGCATCGTGCGCTACCTGGACACCAGCAAGCTGTGCCCCATCTGCGACGTGCCCGTCCACAAGTCCAGGCCGCTCAGCTGCCTCAGGTACGCGCTGTCTGTCGGGGAGACAGATAGAGTCGCGCAGAGCGCGATCGTTTCCGCTTCCTTGCTGTAACGGCCGGTTGCACCGCTCTTGTCTGAAGCTGTGTCGATCTTTCTGCCCCCTCGACTACTTGCGACTCCTCGCCCAGGGTGGACACGACCCTGCAGGACATCGTCTACAAGGTCGTTCCGGGGCTCTACCAGAGTAAGATCCTCTCAAGTATATATATTTCGAGTTTTACTGGCGTCGGCCTGAAGAATGAGAGGCTTCGCGACCGGAGTGGCTTGATCGAAACGGGTCTTCCTGGGCGTGTCGCGCTAGCTCTACACCACCAGACAGTTCACATTCTTGTAACTGCTCAATTCGTAGTTGCGTGTTTTGCTCGTCGTTGGGACTACTATAGGCCGGCGTAAACGTTGGTCGTCTTCTCTTTCACCAGGAGAGATGAAGCAGCGCCGGGAGTTCTACGACCAGCACCCCGACGCAGGTAAGCACCGTCGTAGCGTCGCCGGATAAACCTGCGCTGAAATCTCTCTGCTGCGCGCTCGATGGGCTGACGGTCGTCGACTTGATTGCCTTCCACGCGTCAGCCGGGAGGTTAGCTGGAATTCTGTGGATCGGATTTGCTATACTCCACTTTAGTACGACAATACGTATGGCCATACGATCCGTATGAACCAATAGGCCATATGCAAAATTCTTCCCAGCTAACATCATCATGCCATTCGGAGCCGCCATAGGGGGGTGGTTTCCCACGCATCTGTATTTAACTCGGTTTTCGTGGTATTAGGACAGTGTATTTCTGCACTCAATGGGTTGCTTTTTAGTTTTGGTTCAAAAAAGAAAAGGAAAAGAGGGATCCAAGAGAAATAAATTTTATTTTTCTTGCGAGAAAAATAAATTTAATGAAGATGATGTCAAATCGTAGCAATTAGTCGCTGCGTGCGAACGTGGGTGAAATGGCGTTCGGACGTCAAGTTTCTGGGAGAAATTGCCCCGTCTGAACCGGGCCTAAAGAAATGCCGCTTCCACCATATTAATTCTGCGAACAAAGCTGTAATGACTTTATCAACTGTAATACCATTCGTAAAGTTCAAATGGGCAGACGGGCATGTTCCCGCCCTTGTTTGCACTCTGTGCGTGCCTCGGCCATCGCGTCGGCCTGACGCCCCCTCTCTTTGTCCTGCTTCTGCGTTGTAGCCTTCAAGGTGCCCTGCCTCGAGGACCGCGGCGTGGTGGATGTCTCTAGCAGGCTCATCTTCAGCCCCCAAGACACTGTCAGCGTGTCCCTCGAGTACTTCACCGGGTAAGTACTGGATGGGCACGACAGGACCCCACTTCCGGCGGTTTTCACTAAATGACGCTTCAGTTTTGCCTTTACTTGGCCGACGTTCGTTCGGAAGTGACGCTTCGAGCATCACCGGCTGTTTGTTTGCAGGGAGTTCTTGAAGGCCCATAAAGAGATTTTCATTTGAGCGCGATGCGTTCAGTGGCGGCAAGCTTTTAGCGCGGAGAACCTTTACGCGGGGCGTATGCCAATACCACCTAGAACACAAGGCCTGCGCGTTAACCCTTCCTCTAAACGTCATCACTAGTAGATCCCCTCAGCGGCCTCTAGCTAGCCCGGATGAGCAACATCGTCTGCTACATCGTCTGCTCCATCGCCTGCTTCAGTGGTTTGTGTAACAGATAATGAAACAAATGCTCACGCCGTGTGTCTCTTGCAAATAGCATACGATGAAGTTAGACGTTCACGTGGAGCGTCAAATGCATGAGCGAAATTGCTTACTGCTGCGCGAAGGGCTGAAAAGCCCTTCGTTGGACGCTGGACGCTATCACTGGACGCCATTTTCAAAGGCGCTGTTGATACCTCGGGTAGCTGCTTCGAAGCGTTCTACCGCAGAACGAGCGCGCGCGCTAGAAATGCGCGTCTCAAAGCCAGGAGCGCGTGCTAGCTCGCGCTCCTGGCCGAGGGAGCGTTCGCGTGCACGTCGCAAATGCACTGGAAGCTCGCTATCAGCTCGCGCTCCGCAGTCACGCACACAGCTGCGGCCGCAAGTGAATGCGACGTAGTTGCGACGCGGCCCCTACTCTCGTCAAGCTTCGGCGTGTTTGCCGCTTGGGGCGCGGGTCGGGGATCTACTAACGAAACGTCATGCGCAGGCCTTGTCTTCTAGGTGGTATTGCGTGTGCAGACAGTCGAGTTGACTCGCAATCGACGGAAGTCAAGAGCAAATAAGAACGCTCTCTCGTCTCTCGCGGCTCACCGATAGTATAAGCGAAATCCACGGTGGCAGCACCGATGTCGCCGGTGTCGGGACGATCCCGCTGGCTTCTTCGAGTTCTGTCCAGCTCGAGCCATCTCAAAAGCTGGCCAAACAGGGCACACAGCAAATGCCGTGCATGCCATTTTCTGTCCCGGAAGTGGAGGCTTCTCTTTAGTTCCAGTCCGCTTCGGGACTTTCGTGTTTTGCACAGAGGCTCGGAGCGTGCTCATGACGTTGGTCCCTACAGCCATTCACACGCTCTGCTAGCGGTCGCCGAGGCCTCCATTGTTGCTTTCAGTCCCCCATCTCAAAAGGGGAGCAGACGACCGCGAAAAGGCGAGGATGAAAGCCGTGCTGGTTGCGTGGATGATGTCCTTGCCGAAAACGTGCGCGTGCACCGGAACTTCTACGTTTCTTAGATAAAGTGCTCGCTTTTCTTTTTTCTTCTTTTTTTTTTTTCGTGTGTGCACGGCATTTGCTGCGTCTTGTTCGGACACCCCTTCCAGGCTTGGAAGAACCTCCCGTCTCCCCACCACCGCTCCTCAAGAAGCAAAACCAAGACATTGTCTTCGCGTCGCTGACGGGCACGGGCGAGCACATGACCCTTCCTTCTCTCTCTCTCTCTCTTGACTTCTGATTGGTCTACTGTAACACACCACGTTGGAAAGTTGAGGCCTGCTCTACTCTCGCATAACCCTTGTTACGCGATTACGTGGCTTGTCGCCGCAAGGACGCAATTCCGCACTCAAACGCATTCAAACGTGAATGTTGTTTATGGATCCTGAGATGTGGGAGCGCCAGAGTCTGTGGCTCTATTGCGAATTACTGCGCTCGTGGAGTGAGAGACGAGCAGTCGCTGTAAATGTGAAATTCAACTAAACGTTAGAAGGTGGTACCGTCTTCGCCGCTCTGGACGACGTCTTTCCGCCTCCTCGGTATATCGCAATAGGAATTGAAAAACCAATTAATAAATCTAAGCCGTTGCCTTCGGTTTCTTTGCCAGCTTGCATCAAAATACGATCGTGGAGGCAACACTAAACGGCTTGAATAAATTTCTGGTCAAGGGAACGCTCGGGACCTGGAACGTGGTATAAATGCTATTTCGCAAGATTCCTACAATCTTTATCGAATAAAAGGCCGGGGTTGTTGCGTATCATGGACAATTTTACTTCGTACTCGGGGTATGATGACGTGAGGCACGAAGTGAAATTGGCCGGAGACTAGTATACCCATTGTGAAGAAAAACTTAAATTTCAAAAACTAGAAGGGAAAAAAATAGTGGGAAAGGGGGGGGGGGGGGGGGGGAGACAATTGCTTGCCGCGTTGTCCATCCCCCTTCTGCTCGGGCGTTTCTCCGTATTGTACCCCATCGTTACAGTTCACTTTCCGTCCTGCAGTGGTAAGCTTCCACCAGCTCGTGCCCACGTCTGTTTTATCGCTGACCCGAGGATATTGCCGCTTCCAGTTCTTGTAGAGTTCTGTCGAAGAAGTCTATGAGTTCATAATTAAAGGTTCGTTTAGGTTATCCTCGTATAGTGTGGTGAGCTCTCGTCCCAGGTCGCGTCTCCTTGAGGCGGCATGCGACAGGAACGGCCGTGTCGATGCCGGAGGCTACCTGTTTATCGTTTGTGGCCTCTGAGGTGCTGGTCCTCTGCGTCATGGTTGTAGCATGACTTCTCCGGCATATGCAGCACGACGGAGGCCTGGGAGTCGGAAGACGACTGCAAAGAGGACGCTGCCGACGCTGCTGATGGCGAGGTAGGTTGTTGATGCTCCCAAGCCTCGTTTCCCTCCCCCTGCCTGTACTATTGTTGCATTCTAATGGCGTAGCGAAATACCAGTTTGAAGGCCGGTTAGGTATCTACCATGCTCTCATCTAGAGAAAATCGAACATGCTTTAATTAGTTAACATCAATTAGTTTTGTTTTTTATATTGGTTTCAGTTTGCACATTTTAATATTAGATTACAATGTGCCGAAATTGACGAAACAAGTTTTAAGTACTAAAAAAGAGACGCTATGGGTTTTTGTAAATTGAATTGGTTTCTCCCCACCTATCCTTACAAGGTCGTGCGGTGATAACTGCTTATTTTAGGCAAAGTGCATGTGGGTACAGATGTACATACTGGGTCACAAAATTTCGAAATCAAGAAACCACGTCAAAGCGCGTGTGCTCCCGAAGTGATTGCTTGCACGCGGAGCGGAGTTGCTTGCTTTGCTTCGCTCCAGAGGTAGTGCACCTGGAGGCAGTTGAATAAAGTAAGTGGGAACCGGCCGACTATTCAGGATGCAAATGTATCGCTATAGTATCTTCAGGATGCTTTCAAGTATCTGTATCTCTGAATCGAGTTACATTTGAAAAATGTATCTCCGTCTCAGTAGTGACGGACATTTAGGATGTATCATGATGCTCCACCAGGCTTAGCAAGAAATTAATAAACAAGCAAGCAAGCAAAGAAACAAAAGTGCTTCGAAAAAAGGTCACTTGAAAAAGTAACAGGATGAGCTTCTCCCACAAGGTACTCCACTCTTTCCACTTTCGCGGAATGAATGCTGGGAAGGATGCCAGTGGTGAGAAGAAAACTACCGCTCATGAACAGTAAAGGACTCGTGGAAGGGGCTCTTTCAGGTTCCGGCGAACTAGGGTGAGCGGCCTTGAGGACAGAAATAGGCCCCGCTTTGTTGTCCGATCTGCACCGACGGACAGATTCCCGCTCAGTGCGGGTCATCGTGGTCATATTCCTTTTGCCAAGCATGGCGGACAGTTGTCTGCTTCCAGTACCTACCTGGTTCACTAAAAGCAGTACTTGCTTGTTTTTTTTTTTTTTTTTTTTCCATTTTTTAGCGGCATTTGGGATGGAAGTTGTGGACGTATGAAGAGTTCGAGGTAAAGGGAGGCGGCGTAAACTAACACAAAGAGGAGAGCATCAGCGCCATTTGCAATTTCCACGAACTGCACTCACCAGCACCCGCCGCCGTTCGAAAAAAACAAACAAAACAAAACAAAAAAAACTATGTATTTTTATTTTTATTCCGGAATACTTTCTAGCCATTTTTGTGGAAGCATCTCGAGGGCATCCCGTTGCGTAAAAGACAGATGTGTCTCACTATCTGTATTCTTACTTTCAAATGCATGTAGCGCAGTATTTGCCTAGCCCCTCTGCTCTCTGCCTAGCCCTAAAAACAAACAATAAAAATGAACGTTAAAAAAATTGCGAGTGAGGCCGTTTGGATTTCATGCCAAGCGGAAAGGCTCGCGTGGCAATTGGCGCTCTAAACAAATAGCTAACATAATAGGGTATCCGGCACTATCCAGGAAAAACAAATATCAAACGGAGCAGGCCATCTTATGCAATTCAGGAAAGACGGGGTACGGGTCTATAATAAACGCGCGGAACTTACCGTCGGCGAACGTTGTAAACGTGGAGCGCTGAGCCGACATGACGCCGCAGGCAGTGGCACGAGAGAGGCGGTCTATTCTTGGCTCATTTGCTTTAGGGTTCTTGGCATCGGCGAGGCAGAGGAGAAGGATGCAGCGTCAGAAAATCCGCGCGCGTTTCCCTCTGTGGCCAACAACAGCGCACCTGTACGCTTACCGGAAGCTATGTGCTGCGCCAGGGCAGCGTGGCCTGCGCAGGCAACGCTACAAAGCAGCGTTGTGCCAAAATTCAATATTGAATGAGCCTAGCTCATCGAAAATTGACGCGTTACTGAGATTCGTTATTGTTCCGCGAGCGTAACGAAATACCATTACCGTTACTTCCAAACACAAACGAACGTTACTTTTGCGCTACCCTGGATTTCAGTATTTGGCGGCGATAAGGCGCGTGCGGTCTTCGCGGAGCAATAAAATATTTACAGAGGAATGTCATGTTTATTTTGTTTATCAAATTTGTAGAATACAGTGATGTCCCTACGGCGCGTTGGACCTTTAAAGGGACCGAAAGCGTGACAAAGGAATAGCGTAATTTGATCAACTACACCGCAATATATACTTTAATCACGAGTCGCTTCGGATGAGTATGTTAGCACGTTACTGAAAAAGCTAACACGTTATCCTAGTGACGCGTTAGGTTGGGCTATAGCTAAAGTTAGAAGTAAAAGTGTTACTGCACTAACGTCTTTACTCGTATATATACAGAATTCTCCGTTACGTAGCACACCAACGGCTAGCGCACCGGTCGTATCACTTCTCGACTTTGTACGGCAGGTACATCGGGCGAATATATATATATATATATATATATATATATATATATATATACATATATATATATATATATATATATATATATATATATATATATATATACATATATATATATATATATATATATATATATATATATATATATATATATATATATATATATATATATATATATATATATATATATATATATTTCCTCCTCTCGCTCTCCCTTCAAGTTCCCGCAAGGGAACCCGATCTTCGCGATCCAAGAGCACTAAAAACTCGAGGCGCTACACGTAGCCTATACACTTTTTCCACGAGGGCGCAGCCATCTTGAATGCCGTCACTTCTGATATGCGCTAAAACATCGTTTTGATGTATCCAGGCCGCTGGAATGTGTTTATGAAAAATGCGCGATTGACACACATTCTTGTTTTGCCCATCCTATATATGCTCGGGTATTCCAGGTTAAAATGTTTCATTATTTTTTCGTCCCGCATACCAGGCACGGAACCCACGTGACTGAGGAAGTAGGAAACAGCAAACGCCTATAGAAAGAATCATAGCCCGTGGAAACTCGTTAACGCGTGCTCCTCACACACTCCACATCTGAAACAAACAAAAAAAAGAAAGTGTAAACTTGTGTCGATGATTGGGATAAACCGGGGGCGCACGCGAGTGTTGTAACAGCCCGCAACCGAGCGTGAGAAATCATAAACTCGCACCCCTCGTAGGTTACACAAAGAGAGTCTGTGTGAGGCATGTTGTTCTTTGCATGACGCTCCTCTCTCGTAATGGTCATACAAAACTGTCTTTAGGCGTGTTCTAATCACGCATACGAAGCAAACGTGTGTCGAACAGGTGTGAGGCGTGCCCGCGTATAATTCTGTCAATCTGTCTGCAGCCGTATCTTTTTGTAAGCGTGCAGTGTGGATTCTGCCTACGCACGCATGATGCCCACATGACACATCCTGTCCTCCCCGGGTTTATCGGAACGATCGAGGGGAGTTTGGATTTCTTCAAAAGGAGTTCTCTGCTCAGGCTCTCGCCCCCTCTTCACATAGCGGCGAACGCTCGAACCACTGCTGGCGTTTGGAAGGGGAGTTGCGCTAGCTCTCCTTCCTCCGTTAGATAGCGCTACTCCCGTTCCAAACGCAGGGGCGTATTAGGGGCGCCCCAAGGTCAATCTCTTTTTCTTTTTTCATGAAAGGAGGCCATACGTTAGCTTGGTTTTAAAAAGAAATGTTTAGTTTTGTGTGTGAAACGGCAATTACGCGCAAGGCGCCAAAACAGATCGTAGCAACCCTTCGCCCGTGACGCCATATTCGTCCGTGATGTCATATCTACCTCTGCACATATCCCCCCGTCCAGGCACGTAGCCAGCCCCCCCCCCCCCCCCCCTCCCCCGAAATCTTTCATTTTGATGGGACCTCCTCTCCCCCCTCCCCCTCATACAGCATTTTGTGATGGGCGGGCCCTCCCCCCCACCCCTCCGAAACAAAATCCTGGCTAGATGCCTGCCCCCGTCTCTCCCTCCGGGTGCCTCGCACGAGCCTTCTTTCGGAGTTCGGCGAAAATTGGCCACTCTATGGCCATCTGGGAGGTGTTGCTGACTGGGGCTTTTTTCCCCCAGGGCACAAAGGACCCGAGGCGGGGGCAGCGGCGGTTTCTCAGCTGTCCCGCCGCCTTCACCATCAGCCACATGCAGAAGTTCCTCCGCACCAAGTACGCCCTGGCACCGAGCCTCAAGGTACAACCATCACCCTCCCTGGTCCTCCCTCTGCGGTTGGCGTCGCTGCCAAATACGGGGATGCCAAGATGCTGCCGCTTCCTGGCCTGCGCTTAGATCGCCGTGACGCGCGTCACCGCATCGAACCCATCTCTCGCAAATGTCGGCGTATACGAGGCGCTCCGCAGCGGAGCCGGTCCTGAGCTGTCAGAATCGGCTTAAAACCCGCTTCTGGTGCACTCGGTCGCGGCCGAACGAAAGTGTGTGAACCAGTTTTTGCGGGTCGCTCCGCTCGACGCTCCATCGCCTGAATATGCGTTTTCAACAATGAAGCAAAAGAAATATAAACGACGTATTTAGAAAAAAAAAAAAAAAAAAAAAAGGAAACACTTTTGCGGTATTACTTTAATTCCAGCAGTCGTGACGCGTAAAGCCTTTCTTTTTTTTTTTAGCGTACTCTTCAGTGTTGTGTCTAACAAACGACCTGAAACTTATTCCGCGGGGCGGGGGAAATAAAGTGCGAATGATGAAACAAAACCAGGTTTAGGTGATGATGAGGGAAACCGCCGAACAAGCCACGCTCCAGAGTAACCACAGGACTACCATCTGTCGCTTAAAATCGTTCGTGCCAGTTGTATCTGCATCTTTATGTAAAATCGCGGAACACGTTTTTTGTTTTCGTCCCCCAGAAATGTCAACACAGTTGGCGACAGAGCAAAAGGATATCACCTGAGCTTCCTAACACCAAACAGACCTGTAGAAGCACAAAAACGATGTGAACGAAAAGCGCTCCAAGATGCACGTGCCAAGAACCAGCGTTGATGACGCTATTCACGTGAGGCACGGGCACGGAGCTAGCCGTCACACCTTGAGCCACTGTATATGGCTGCGTAGCTACCAGGTTAGTGACACGACGCAAAATTATCTAGATAGATCAGAAGCGCCGATAGTGATCTCCATTTTGGGCCTGGGAGGTTGCCATGGTAACCGTACTGCTAGCGACGCCGGGCGGCAACGTTTTTAGTCTAGTTTATATCTTCATTGAAAAGTGGTCAAAGACGCATGCCATGGCGGTACGGCACGGGCCTCTGGAGGAACAGTGCCTGTTTCTTCTGTGAAGTGAAACGATTTTCAGCCCGGAGACTGTCGAAAGACGAGAGCTGCTAGGTATTGTAGGTGCACGGACAAGGCGAGGGGTTTTCCGCGCCGCCTGGATGGCGGCCGCTTCGTTTGGCGTACCGTCCTTGTACTTTCTGACTTCGCTCCGATGGTACAAAATTCGATTACGTCGGCCACGACAGGACGATTGCCTCGGGACATGACTGCTGCTCCGCTGCCCCATAGTCAGCGAATGTATATGCTTAGCATCATACATCTTCAAGACCCAATCATCCATTCAAGATGAGATTGTCTCACCGACTGGCCAGGAGCGACGTTGACGACGGTCTAATCCTCCTTTGGGTGATGAACAGCCGACGAGGTTCAACCGTCAAGACAGCGTGGTGGTCTCCAGAAGATAGTTAACGCCATCAAAAGAGACGGACGCCGGATAGCAGGTGTTCTTGCCGACAGTCAGAGTGGTCGTCTGGAAGTTTACGGGCATGCAAAAAGTCAATATTTTTATCTGGTGTAGCACACATATCCGTGTTAAAAAAGGGGCCATGAAATGAGTTTTTAACTTCTTCCTTAGCTGTAATTCTCGACTCAAAAGCGAACTGTGAAATCACACGGTCTTGACTTGCTAGGACACCGGTGCGATGACCCCAAACTTCCACCGTGCTTTTTAAGCACACCATAAAATTTTGCATTCGCAAGTGATGATAGTTCCGTCAGGGCACTCATTGGCTACGAACGCGAATTCAAACATTCGTCGACGAATTGATTGTTGACGAGTGCATACGTCCGAGTGACGCAGTTCTCGTGTCCAATGCGTGAGCTGGAATCGGCTGACGGCATTTTGGCCTTTGTAGGCATTCCAAAGAGGATATTTAGAACGATACACATATGACAATAACATTGGAGCACCTTGACATTAATGAGCAAAAAATGGGCCCATGTGCAGAAAATAAATATTACACTTGTAAGGAATAACTATGTATGTAACTTGTTACTTACAAGGACGAACACACCTCTGATCATCAAAGTGTAATAGTATGTGTTGATGCATTGTTATATAGCAGGACATTTCATATAGACACTTTCAGGCAACATTTCATGGGCGCCGTCATCTTGACGTCACGTGACCCTGCCGCCATAGCCGGCCTTCAGTTTCTTGCCGTTGCTCCGCGTTGTGTGCTGCACAGGCCACTACCGGAGCTTTGTTTTCGTGTTCTTTTACGTTCCGCGTTGAAATTGTTTGTTTTCTTAAGGTCTTTTCGATATTTCGGGCTTTCATTTAATCATTTGATATCTATATTTTAACACCAGCTCTTGTATTTTCGTATTTATGAAATGGAATCGGACAGCTAATAGATCGACGATACACGATTATGGCTTCAGAGACCATAGAAATTAGTCTCATTCTAGCGTTTTTCTCGCTAATGAAGGCCAGTCAACACCATTGCTACATATGCAAATTTCAACTGACACAGTAAGGCTATCCAGTCGTGCTTCTCGCTGCACGTGCGCGCTCGTTTCCGTGAAGCCGATCCGCATGTAAGCGATTTCGCGTGCGACGAGACGAGCGGTGGCGACAACGACGAGAGTCAGCGACGAGCGACGGAGATTTCTTACTGTCGCCCGTCGGGTCGCTCGGTTTTGGGGTTTCTAGAAAACGTCGCTCACCGTCTTGATCGCTTGCTACCGTCACTTCCATGCGGTTTGCATCGATCGTCGTACGACTGACCGAGCGACAGCGAAGCGGGTCACCGTCGCTTGTCTCGTTGCTCGCCAAATCGCTTGCATGCAGTTAGACTTAATATCGAGGCGCCAATCGTTCAATGTTGTGTGCTTGTAAATTAATCGAGTGTAAACCGCATGTAAGCGATTTGGCGAGCGACGAGATAAGCGACGGCGAGCCGCTTCGCTGTCACTCGGTCGGTCGCGCGACGAGGCAAACCGCATGGAAGCGACGGAGCAAGCGACCAAGACGGTGAGCGACGTTTTCTAGAAATCTCAAAACCGAGCGATGCGACGGGCGACAGTGAGAAATCTCCGTCGTTCGTCTCGTCGCACTCTAAATCGCTTACATGCGGGTCGGCTCTACGGAAACGAGCGCGCACATGCAGTGAGAAGCACGACTGCGATAGCCTTACTGCGTAAGTTGAAATTTACATATGTCGCAATAGTGTTGACTGCCCTTTATTAGAGACAAAAACGTAAGAATGGGATGAACTTAGATGGTCATTGAAGCCTCATAATCTTGTATCGTCGATCCATTCGCTGTCCGATTCCATTCCATAAATAAGAAAATACAAGAGCTATGTCGAAATATAGATATCAAATGATTAAATGAAAGTCCTAAATATCGAAAAGACCTAAAGAAAATGCAAGATTTCAACGCGGAACGTAAAACAAGACGAAAACGAAGCACTGGTAGTGGCCTGTGCAGCACACAACGCGGAGCAACGGAGAGAAACTGAAGGTCGGCTATGGCGGCCCGGAAAGTTCGCGGAGGGCGCGCCGACTGGTGGCAGCTCGACTAACGCGCCTGCGACGTTCCTTTCGGAGCGACCGCCCTGATGCAAAAGGGTTTTGGTGCAACTGAATACTGAATACTGAACTGACTCGCTGAAAGCGCCTATACGTCATTTGAGCAAATGCCAGCTTGTCACTTGAAAGACAAAAAAAAGAACAACTGACGCTCAAATGCAAGCTATTGCAACGAAAGCACGTTATATCAAAATCTTCAGAACTGCCAGTTCGTATAATCGTCGATTAGTACAAAAGGTTAAAGGTCGCAGGAGCTTCCTCGCTAAAAGTTGATGTCATTATTCGGGTTGCCGAGGGCTGAAACAACTTCCCCTAGGCCCTACACGCGGCGTATACCTTTCGTTTCGATTCTCAGACACTCCAACGTTGAAACTATAGGCTAAGAGTACGCGAAAATTGCATGCTAATAATCTTATCGATCCTCGAACACATCCGGGAATCCGAGCACCGCTACGGCGATATGACTGATGCTGTCGCACAGGTGCTAATATCCGGGTCGATCTTGCACAGAAAGGAGCCTTATTCTTTTAGATCTTCACGTTATACCCACGTCAAAGAGCACGTAGAAGCCCGAAATCGTCGGCAAGCAGCGGCACATCACGACCAACGTTACTGGAGCTTGCCCAGTTTCGCAGCTCCCTATTCTCGCCAGCAGAGACGAGTGGCCCAGGTGGCGGTCACGAGAACTAGTGGCGCTGCAGTCGGATCTTGCTTCCTTGTCTCGCGCTTTGTCTGCTACCACTGCGTTGAGAGCTTCCTTTTCTTTTTCTTTTCTTCCTTTTTTTTTACTTCTATGTGTATAATACACGAACTCATGTTTACAAACAAACCGGAGCGCCCGGAGCGCCTCTAGCGGACGCCACCGGCGCCGCGCATGCGCGATGGGGGTGTGGGCAAAAAGCTCGCCGTCGCCCATAAACAAACCATTGAAATGCGATGTTGTCGGCGCCGGTGTGAGTCCCCGCGCTCGTTTTCGCGTTGGAACTGTTCATTCTACGTCCTTCTAACGATGTCTGACTACTTGAGCGGCGTCAGCGAAATTAACGAGGATCGTTACACCGCAAAACTTCGCGTGAATAATCTGGCATGCGGCGATTCATTCCGCGTGGACGCCGCAGAACGTACGCTCAAGCCTGATTCACATGATGAGATTTCGCTCGCAATTTTCAGTAGCAACGTCGCTCGGACTGCAAAAGCGTGAACCGTAGCTGAGATGGTCGACGTCGATACTGAAAATCGCAAGCAGAATCTAACCAAGTGAATCAGGCATAACAAGTCGGTGATGGCCACTGGTAACAATGATCAACATCTCCTTGTATCGACTGTTTACGTCGAGCCTGCTTACCAACCTTCAAACGTAAGTCTTTTAA